AACATCTGCAGCATAAACACAGCTCTGCTATAAGTCTTGCCAAGGACTTTGAGACACTAAAACCTTTGGTGGCACAGTTCACCAATTATTAAACACAAAAAATAAAACACAATAACCAAGATCCTTTTGATCAAAGACCTCCTCAGTGAACTGACATTCTGAATAAATTAACAATAGAATATTTTCAGTATAAGGAATACTTATTTTCACTTTAGTGTTTGCTGGGGTTTTTAGTGACTAAATCCACCCCAAAACACCCTTATCATGGCCTCTAGCTACACCTGGATGACACATTCTTCTTGTTATTGACTTGCTAGCCCAATTCCTTGGGCATTCAAAGATCCCTCGGGGACAGAATCTCATTAGTGACTCTGTTCCTGAGGGTGTTTTTAATCAAGGATTTTGAATTCTCAAGCCTGAATAGACTTTGGGAGGCTAGACTAATGAAAGCAATGAGGCAACCTCTGTCTTGCAGAAGCTGTGCAGAATGAGGTCATTTTCTATTAGCAAAAGACACAAGAATAATTCCTCTGGAATGCAAAAATAAATTTTAGTAGGGAGTGAGCTGGACTTTATTTTAAAAATGCAGGTCACAATGTAAGCTCTAAATAAGAGAAATATATTTTGCAGTGCCATCATTTTAGCAGCACATTTAAGGAGGTTGTCCTGTTCAATGAATGGGCTCTTTTAAAATTGCAGTGAGAGATATGATTGAGTTATAATGCTACTGAGTAACTACACATTTGAGACCCTGCAATGGGAGAGTGCTAAACTATACAAAGTAAGTTCAAACTGCTATTATTATCATCAATTATTCTTATTTGATTTAGTGCTTTTTATCTTCAAAGTCCCTTTTAAATATGACAGAGGTGGAAGAAAAGCATTATCCTCATTTTGCAGATGGGAAAACTTAGGGTGCATCTACACAGCACCCTAAACTCAAAATAAGAAGCAATTTGCACTACTCAAATCGTGTATCTATTTCGATTCTATTTTGAAATTTTGAAATTTGGCGTGTTTACACAGCGCCAAATTTCAAAATAACACACTATTTTCAGACATCCGTTAACCTTCATGGAACAAAGGCTACAAGGATGCTGCAATAGCATGCCCACTATTTAGAAAAATATTTTGAAATAATGGGCAGCTTGTTAAGACGCAGGATAGTTATTTCAGGATATATCTGGTATCCCGAAATAGCCACACTCTGTAGATGTACCCTGAGACACAGTTCAAGGGTATGTCTAGACTACATGCCTCTGCCGACAGAGGCTTGTAAAATAGGCTACCTGACATAGTCAATGAAGCGGGGATTTAAATATCCTTGACTTCATTAAAATAAAAATGGCCACCGTGCTGTGCCGGCTCAGCTAATCGTCGGCACAGCGTGCGAGTCAAGACGTGGATCAGTCGACAGGGGAAGCCTTTGTCGACCACTCCTGTAAACCTTGTTATACAGGCTATACAGTGATCTCATGTCAGAAACTGGGTTAGGCCCCAGGTATTTCTCATTCTTGTGCTCGGATCACTAGATGTCACCTTTTTTCAGAACCCGAATACCAGAAGGCAGTAATGTTGCTATTGACTTTCAGTGGTGATTAGGCTCCTGAGTGACTTAGGTTCAGTTTGACAAATGGGATGAAGGCTCCTATATCACTCCTTAGGTGCTTTAGAAGCTGTTACCCAAGATGTTTGCAGCCAATATCTCTACAAGGATGGGAAAAGCTGGGACAACTTCTATTTAAGATCAGACAAATAATCCTGACTCTGTTGGTGTTCCCTATCAACAGACTTAACTGTGTGTGAATTTGCCAGTCCCCTTCCTTGATCATTCAGAAGTAAGCAGAAGTGCAACTCATAAAATAAAGGAGAATGCTGCAACATGGATGCAAACCCTGTAGCTGGAGGCAGTCAGAAGCCCGAATTCTTTTTGAACTATGCAAAGAATTTTGTGTATTTTTTCAACGTGTCAGGATTTATGTCCATAAATCAAAAACAACTGCATAAATAAATGAATATCAAACTTTGTCTGAAGTGCATTTTTTTCCAGCCTAGAATCACATTCCTTTGGCATTTGTGATTTTCATTGGACAGAAATCTCTTCTTGTTTCCCTCCTTAGAGTACAAGTTGTCCAAGATATGGAAAGGGGGTAAAAGCTTTCACAACTTGGTGAGTAAATTGAGTTTGTTCCCCGTAAGCAATTCGGGTTACACTGAAGAGGTACAGTGCAAAATCCAGCAGAGAGGAAGTTGTGTTACTCTAACTGCAATGTGGCTTACACAGAGCCCTAAAGAATGGAGTGATGCACAAAGGCCCAGTTAAAGAGGAAAAAGGTGGAGCCATATTGCAGCTAGGGAAAAACAAGGATTCCAGCAGCTTCTTATTGCTAGCCAAAAAAGGAAGTATGAATAAATGCAATGCACTTCCAGTGCTTGTATTTGTGGGAATCTCTACTTTACAGGTATTCAGGTAGCTCTTGGTTTGTGGCAATAGCAATGATGCGCAGAATTTTAGTATTTGAAAATCTGTACCAAGAAGCATGCTGTTTGTAATTTGCTATGCATTAATTACTATTCATTTTCAACTTTTAGCTCTTTGGGAGGAGATTGTGTTTGTGCACTGACTCACATCATGGCATTTGTTTAGGAACTACAATAACAGTAATATAATGATAAATATCTCTCCTGTTTCAAATCCTTTAGTTACCCAGTCAGGGAGCAGATATCAGGGAGTTCGCTATTGATTATGAATAGTGTCTGATTGAAGCACCAAGCTGAAATGTGTTCTCAAACTCTTTTATGCTAATAAATACCCAATACATTAGCAGAAAGAAGGATCAATTTGGTCTACTGCTGACCTGTAGAAGGCTCCCGCATTTCAGGGGTAGAAACAGGGGGCCAAACAGAATGCCAGGCCCCTGGGCAAAGTGGGGGGTGGGCCTGGCTCCACACTCCTGGAAGGGGTGGGACCTTAGGTAGAAATAATGCCTGGGTAGAAATAATGTAGTTGTTAGACACCTGCCCTTTTAAATTGGGGGAAGAAAAGAGGAAAATGTACGCTGGTATCTATTCCCTTCCTCCCTCCCCCCTCCAAAGGGACCTCTGTCCAGAGGGAAGAAAATCAAAGCAGCTTGAGTGATGACCAGTCCCCTATGGGTGAAGATGATCTCTGAGTGCTTTGCAAAATGCGCAAGCCCAGAGTCTAAGTTCTTGGCAGTTAATTATTCTTTTAGGAGCTTCTTTGTATCAAATGCTGAATATGGTAACTTGACACATAGCTCACAAGAACTGGGGGGGGAGGGAGGGAGAGTCGCCAATCCTTCAGGATTGTCCTGGAATCCCCAGGAATTAAAGACTTAAACTTTAATTAAAGATTATGACACATGATGAAACCTATAGGAGTACATCCAAACTGGCAACTCTGGGTGCAGGTGAACAATTTTTAGGGAGAAAGAGGGAGGGTCATCATTGGATGGGGGTTTAAATATCACAACTGGCCAGTTAGACAAACACTGAGGGTGTATCTAGACTACATGGCTCCGTCGACAGAGCCATGTAAGTAGTTTACCCAACATAGTCAATGAAGCGGGGATTTAAATAATCCCTGCTTCATTAAAATAAAAATGGCTGCCGCGCTGTGCCGACAATCAGCTGATCCGGCACAGCGTGTCAGTCTAGATGCGGATCAGTCGACAAGGGAAGCCTTTGTCGACCGCTCCTGTAAATCTCATTTCACGAGGCATAAAGGAGCAGTTGACACAGGCTTTCCTTGTTGACCAATCCGCTTCTAGACTCCCGTGCTGTGCTGGATTAGCTGATTGTCGGCACAGCGCGGCGGGCACTTTTTTTTTAATGAAGCAGGGATTATTCAAATCTCCGCTTCATTGATTATGTCGGGTAAACTACTTCACATGGCTCCGTCGACGGAGCCATGTAGTCTAGACACACCCTGAATGACTTCCCTGGAGGTAGAATAACAGCAGGCAGGGGTGGGGGAATGTCTGCCATCCACCAGGAAAACTCTTCCCTCCTTTAATGGGCCTTAGGATCCTTTCCAGCAAAGCTGTTTTTGTTGTTACTGACTTGGGCTTTCATCCTGCTCCTGCATTTTGCCAGTTCTCAACAGGAGAGGAGAGTGGGGTCTGGGCCACTGGCAGTAAATGAGCTTTTCTGGACAAATAGCATCCAAATCCTAACCAGGATAGAACAGTCCACATGCAGTCAAGAGTGTGACAGTGTTTAAGAGACTGGGTATCATGGGAAATAACTATTTGTAGGGCAATTAGCATGAAGAGTAATATTATTGCCTGGAAAATGTTTTCTTGGATCCCATCCATGATATTGGAACTGAGACTTGAAGTGGATATGTTCTGTATAGGAATCTAGCTTATCTGAAATCACTCTGGGTATGTCTACACTTGCACCCTAATTCGAACTAGGGATGCAAATGTAGGCATTCGAAATAAGTCAATGAAGCGGGGATTTAAATATCCCACGCTTCATTAGCATGATCTCCCAGCGCGCACTTTCACTTTCGAAACAGCTGGCATTCGGAGTAACGCGCCGGCGAGATCATGCTAATGAAGCGCAGGATATTTAAATCCCCGCTTCATTGACTATTTTGAATGCCTATATTTGCATCCCTAGTTTGAACTAGGGTGCAAGTGTAGACATACCCTCTGATAGTGACTCCCAAATACATATGAATCTTGGAGAATTACCTGATTCTTACCTAAGTACATCCACCATACTATTTGTCACCCAGTGTTTTAACTTCAGCCTAATTGATGCAAGGCCTGTTTTTGAATCTACCTCTCCTTTTTGTCTCTCAACAAAAAGAATTTTCACAGTGAATCAAAGTCAGCTGCAATATCTGGCTACTGTTTGTAATTTCCCACCCTGTTTTTTTCTTCTGTACACTGGTATAAATTTAATTGCTTTAGAAAGCTAAAGATCACAATGCATTATGTGAAACAAATACCAGATCAGCTCTGTCTTACCAGCAGGTTCTTTGCTAGGATGTTTTCAATGAGCTTGAAGTCATTACGCAACTGCTTGCTCTTGAAACTTGTACCCTCCATTTCCTCATCAGCATAAAAGCGGAAATATTGGGATTCATCCTTGAATTCGCTCTTCTCCAGGACTGAAAACCAAAGGGTGGAAGGCAGACAGACAGTTAGAAGGAAATCTAAACATATTTCTCTCACCTTTAGAAAACCAAAGACCAAAGAAAGTCCTGACTAGGGGTATGAATGGCTAACTGGTTAACGGGTAAACATGACTCTTACCGGGTGATGCTTATCAGTTACAGTTAACCAGTGACACAGCTGGGCTGGAATGGTGGGGGGGAGCTGTTCCAACCCAGCCAGGCTCATGGCATGGTGCAGAAGGCTGGAGCAGCCCATTGCATGTCAGGTGGGGGCGCGTCAGCGCAGTCAGAACAGCCCATGCCTGCGGGGGGACCGGCCTGGCTAGAGCAGCCCACCGCGCTGCTTAACTAGTTAACAGATTAAACAGGATTTTACATGCCAAATCCTCACCACCAATCATAGAATCATAGAATCATAGAATAATAGGACTGGAAGGGACCTCGAGAGGTCATCGAGTCCAGCCCCCCGCCCTCAAGGCAGGACCAAGCTCCGTCTACACCATCCCTGACAGATGTCTATCTAACCTGTTCTTAAATATCTCCAGAGAGGGAGATTCCACCACCTCTCTTGGCAATTTATTCCAATATTTGACCACCCTGACAGTTAGGAATTTTTTCCTAATGTCCAATCTAAACCTCCCCTGCTGCACTTTAAGCCCATTACTCCTTGTCCTGTCCTCAGAAACCAAGAGGAACAAATTTTCGCCTTCCTCCTTGTGACACCCTTTTAGATATTTGAAAACCGCTATCATGTCCCCCCTTAATCTTCTTTTTTCCAAACTAAACAAGCCCAGTTCATGAAGCCTGGCTTCATAGGTCATGTTCTCTAAACCTTTAATCATTCTTGTCGCTCTTCTCTGTACCCTTTCCAATTTCTCCACATCTTTCTTGAAATGTGGTGCCCAGAACTGGACACAGTACTCCAGCTGAGGCCTAACTAGTGCAGAGTAGAGCGGCAGAATGACTTCACGAGTTTTGCTTACAACACACCTGTTGATACAACCTAGAATCATATTTGCTTTTTTTGCAACAGCATCACACTGTTGGCTCATATTCAACTTGTGGTCCACTATGACCCCTAGATCCCTTTCCGCCATGCTCCTTCCTAGACAGTCGCTTCCCATCTTGTATGTATGGAACTGATTGTTCCTTCCTAAGTGGAGCACTTTGCATTTCTCTTTATTAAACCTCATCCTGTTTACCTCTGACTATTTCTCTAACTTGCTAAGGTCATTTTGAATTATGTCCCTATCCTCCAAAGAAGTTGCAACCCCACCCAGTTTGGTATCATCTGCAAACTTAATAAGCGTACTCTCTATCCCAATATCTACATCATTGATGAAGATATTGAACAGTACGGGTCCCAAAACAGACCCTTGAGGAACTCCACTTGTTATCCCTTTCCAGCAGGATTTAGAACCATTAACAACAACTCTCTGACTACGGCTATCCAGCCAATTATGCACCCACCTTATCGTGGCCCTATCTAAGTTATATTTGCCTAGTTTATCAATAAGAATATCATGCGAGACCGTATCAAATGCCTTACTAAAGTCTAGGTATATGACATCCACCGCTTCTCCCTTATCCACAAGGCTCGTTATCTTATCAAAGAAAGCTATCAGATTAGTTTGGCATGACTTGTTCTTCACAAACCCATGCTGGCTATTCCCTATCACTTTCTTACCTTCCAAGTGTTTGCATATGATTTCCTTAATTACCTGCATCAGCATATCCCAGCCAATCATTTATTTAACCCTGGCTTCTTAATCTGTGCCATATTTTGGGCACATCTCACCAAAGTGCAGGGTGGATCTTGGTCTGATCTTCAGTGCTTCTGGTCATAGGCATAGTTTGACTTCTATATTGGAGATTAGCTCCAGTCAGGCCAATAGGGCCATGCCGGTGGGGCGGGGGAGTGAGGAGGGGAATTCCATGCCTGCTTGATACTTGCCATTCGGAGGACGAGGGGGCAATACTCTCTCTCTAACGCCACCAAACTACGCCCAGGCTTCTGATGAATGTGGAATGCTCATCAGGTCCTCTTACAAGAAAGTTTCTATGTAGTATATTATCAAGCAATATGCAACTTGTTTGGTTCATATTAGTCTCATGTCTGGAAACACCCACTGATACCTGGAAAGTAAATATTACTTCCCAGCTGAATTAGCACTTTTTCTTCACTGGTTAGTTTGTCGATGTGATTTGTTTACTTCCCTGCCTTGGCATCAGTATTATGGAGGAAGACAAAGGGAAGGTTCTGGGAACAAAATTGATTTTGAACTGCTGGTTAGAGAGATATGAGTCCACATAGAATGGTTCAGAGCATCCGTGGAATGAAGGTATTCAGAATGGATAGGAGAGCTGGAAATGGGAGTGGAGTTCCTGAGAGAGGCAGGCCATCCTATGTGTGTAACAATAGCTTTGTAAATCAGAGTAAATTTGGGTGCTCGTGCCCCAAATGTTCCAGGTTGGGGCCTATGATCTCCCTCCGCACAGCTTTTATCCCCATGGCTCCTGCTTGTTCATTCATGTGCCGCCTCCTGCAATCAAACGGAGCATGTTTTCATACTACTTGTGCAGAATCTGAAACACTCAAGGGAGGGTGCAGTATTGGCTTTTTCAGCCACTACCTGGAGTAATTCCCATCTGTAAACAGATGGCCATTGTGAAGCTTTCAAAGGCCTGTTTTCTCCACACAACAAAGAATGGCCTCAGAAGTAAATGAACTTTTTAACAGCTTCTCTTTCCTTCAGCTTTTTTTAATCACGTGTCTGGCAGAGGTGTCCAGAACCAGTTTGGATGTGATGCCTGTTTCCAAATGTCTGTTTCAGGTTCTGTGGCCACTTCAAAGCTGGTTCTGATTATAGCCAGGTCTGCTGATGGAGGGGGCCAGGGCAAATGAGGCAGTTATCCTGGGGCCTGGTGATTCCAAAGGGCCCAGGGCTCCCAAATGCTGCCACTGCTACTGCTGTGGCACCTGGAGCCCTGGGCCCTTGAATTGCCACCAGAGTGCCATGCAGCACCCTCTGAATGGTTCTAAGGGTTGGGGGAGCAGCACAGTACACTCTGGGTAGTACCAAGGACTGGCTGCCCCAGTCCCGCCTCTTCCACCTGAGGCTCCATCTCTTCTGGAAGCACAGAGTTGGCCTCCCTCACCTAGTCCAGGGGCCCGGCATGGCTGTCAGCTCCCCTGATTCCAGCCTATGGGTAAACACTGCAGAGAAATCTACTGACAGATTCTGATCCGGCCCAGAGCAGCAATACTGGATGCTCTCCCAACTCCTCCTCTTCTCCAGTCTCCAATTCACCTTTTCCAGGAACACTTCATGGAAAGGTTTTGCAGCCATTTCATTTATTGTTGTGTATATAATAGATATTCAAAAGCCTGCAGTTTACGCAATGTATCCTAAAAATTGGGCAATGGCCAGGGTATTCCCTGAGGGTCTGCCAGAAATGGGGGTTCTACAGGGCACATTTTCCAGTTCTCTGCTCAGGTCTCCATGCATGTGAATTCAATTGCACCCACTCACCAGGGTAAAGGGTTGGGATGAATGTTTGGACCCTGTGAGGATTGCTCATCGCTTGTCTCCCTTTCATTCTGGGACATATTCTGAGAGACTTGCTTGTGTTGACCTTGCTCTGAAAGGAGCAGTGGGACTCTATGAGAAGTAAGGGGCTACCAATGTGAATAAAGCAATGAAAATCAGACCCTCCCTGCCCTCTTCCTCCAGCTTCCAGGACTGAGGCCACAGCTGCAGGCTGAACTGAAAGGGAGACAATGTGCTAGAGAATGTGCACATGGTGAGTTTCTCCAGTTCCACAAGATGAGATGAGCAGTTAGACTCTGGGAACAGGGTGTCTCATTACAATGTCTGCCCAAGGAGGGGCAATAGGATAGAGAGTTTAATTCAACCTCTAAACCCCTCAAACAGCTACAAATTCTCATAATCCATGCTTTGACCTCAGATGTGATTTTCCATTGGCCTTGCCCATCTCAAACACCCATCGGAAGGAGGGTACCTTCTCATTTGGGGGCAGGAATCATAGCAATGCTCCTTTACAATCCCTCACTAATTGCTACTCCTAGACTGCACTCGGGGGTTTGGATATTTCATCTGCGTTGCCCACATGCCACATCTTCATTACTATGAGGACATGGGAGACAGAAGAATGTGGATCAAGAAACAGCCGGGGGCTTTTATTTTAGAGCAAATCTTCACTGCTGTTGGGGTGCCAAAACAACCGAAAATAGCCACGAGAAATCAAAGGGCAGGGCAGACCTCAAAACACAGGGCTGGGCTTGAGAATCTGGCAGCTCCCAGCGGTACAGTGTCGAGGGCCGCCAAGGCTGCTCCAAGAGGCAGGCACTAAAGAGAGCAATTTGGCAGTTCCTTTAGGATAGCTCAGCCTAGTGTTTGACGATTCAGCCTGGGTCATGTTGTACCCAAGATCTATTGGAGTGCATTTCGGGACTTAGTATGTGCAGCATTTTGGATGGCCCAGAAGGTGCTGGGTATTGTTCACAGCTCTGAATGGCACCTCACTGAATTCTGGGAGCTCAGCATCTCTCAGGATCAGGCCTTATTGAGGTGCCTTTATTTCTAAAATAAAGGCCATATTTGCAGCTTGGTTGTTCCCAAGAGAACACACAGTGAGAAAATGATTTCCCCATTTAACTGCCTGGGTGCTGCAGGGTTTATCATGAACATACTCCATGTGGGGACCCTCTGACAGAGCTATTCCCCCAAACATCTTTGATAGGGTCCGTGCTCCCCATGGCTGCATTTCAGAGGGATCCTGCTGGGACCTCTGAGACTGCTTGCATGTATGACACAGCCAATAGGATTGGGATTTGAAGCTATCCCCCATTAATGAGACAGAAGTGAGAGCTCTGTTAATTGGCTACAAGAAGGGTAATTGGTACATTACCATGATGCATGAAACCATTATTGCACAGTCCAACACCCAGTGCGACGGCTTCCTCCCGAGTCTGACAGTCTCCCTAGAAACAGGAGGATAAATGTTATACCTCAGTCTACTTCCTAATCTAAACAATTTCCCCTCCCTGCAGTTGCAGCCCTGAAATTAACAGGGTTGCAGAGAACAATAGCAAGTAATTAAAGCAGGCTTTCCTTTGCCCCAACCCCATTCATTCCTATATATAACACACCTTCCCTCCCACAGGAATTGGGAGGACAAAAGACCTGAGTCTGGAAAGCAGCTATTTTACTAGCACAGACGTATAACATTACATCAATGTGGACACTTTTTTCTTTATTACCAGAAATTGTGATAAAGATTAAGTTCAGTACCCATTAGCCACAGACAATGCCACTCATTCTTAGAGAGAGAGAGAGAGAGAGAGAGAGATTTTTATCTGTATCTAAACCAAGGAAGGGAAAACTCTATGCATAATCAGTTCAAGTGAACTCCCAAAGGTTTCAGTTAATTAAACTTCTATGGTACTCTGTTTTCTCATATAGCCAAATCGGCAAAACATGACTCACTCAGTTAAATATCATTTGAAGCCCTCAGGCCAATATTTCAAAGTAGGGTACAAGAGGTGAGCCTGCAAATGTGCCTGTTACAAATCATTAAAAAGTAATTTGCATGCACAAAATCGGTCATTTGCAATTAATGCCCAAATTCTGTATATGAAACAGCTTATTTGGCATGTGAAGGAAGATGTATGCATGTATCCCTGATGCACCTTTTCTTCCTCTCTCTGACACCCTGAAAAGTGCTGAGTATGGCTCACAGCTCTGAATGGCATCCCACTGATTTCTAGGGACTCAGCCTCTCTCAGGATCTGGCCCTATTGAGGTGCTGTTATTGCTAAAATAAAGGCCACATTTGCAGTCTGGCTGTTTCCAAGAAAAAAATACAAAGAAACAAAAAATAAAAAATCTAGGAAGAAAAACTAGGTTCCACCTTGCAGACGCTACCCATGTACTTAAGGACTTAGCACTCACAATTTGAACACAGGTCCCTGTAATGGGGCCATCACCCCAATTGGTGAAATAAGAGTTAAACGTGAGGTGGGGAACCTTTTTTGGGCCAGGGGTCACTGACCCACAGAAAAATCAGTTGGGGGCCACACATAAGTGAGAAGCAGAAAAAAAAACTCATTGTGGCCCCCAACTGAGAAGGAAACGACACTCCCCACATTCCCTTTGCACACCAGAGCCGGGGGGGGCCAGACTAGTAAAATTTGTGTGCTCCACCCCTCAGAGGGGCAGGGGGCTGGAGCGCCATCGTGGGCTCCCCTATGCTGGGTGGGGATCTAAGCTTTGGGGGCTGAATCCAGGCAAGCTGAAGGCCACATCTGGCCCCCAGGCCTGACATTTCCCAGCCCTGGGTTAAACTCAGACCTGAGAGAGGGCTAGGACAGTGGACCAATCAGCTGAGGCAGGTAGCAGCCAATCAGGGCGGGGCAGTATATATTGAGGCTGTCTGGGAAGCAAGAGAGGGTACCTGAGACAGAGCAGGGTTGGGAAAGCTCAGGAAGAGTTGGTGAACTCTAGCCAGGCAAGCTCCCAGGCTGAGGCCTTGCTCTCAAATCCTGAGAGTCCTAGGGCCGTAGGGAGGCTGCCAGGGCAGGAAAAGGCAGCAGGTCCACACTCCCTTGCAGAGGATGAGTGGCCATTTCAGTCTGCAGTTTGCCCCTGAGGCAGGGGCTAGAGGATGACTGGCAGTGGGTCACTGAGGCAAAGTGGGTATAGGGATTTGGGGTTTGCTGTGAGGGGAGACCCCAGAGTGTGTGGGGGGTGGGGGGTAAAGCCGTGAGGGAAGTGGCACTGTGGTTTGGGAGGGTTTGAAGTAGCACAGAAGAAGACAGGTAACTGAGGGTGAGACACCTATCAACCGGGGGTGTTCCAGGGCTGAAAGCTAATTGCCAGATAGACCAGGGGAAGGTGCTCAAGCAGAGAGTGCTTGAACGTGCTACAGTCCCATACCCCCCAAACCCACATGCTACCATTGACTAAGAATAACTGACATGCTAAGTATAGATTCCTATTGCCCTGAGACTTGGTTACATTTAGGCTCCCTCCCTTCTACTTCTTAATCCTCTGCTCACACTGGAGAGATGGTGTGTGACAGCAATTCTAAACCCATGATAGCTGCGGAACAAAAAGCAATGGCTGTATCCCTGCCAGGATACCGAGTGACTGCTCCTGGGGTTGCCTGAATCTGATTCATAATCCCCCAAGGATACACAAGCCGTGGGTATTAATAAACATTACACTCATTTTCTACTCTAAGCCAATTTCTAAGGCTTTACAAGTCTCTTCTCAGTTTCCACATCCTGCCATGTGACAGCATCCAGCTAGCACCATGACTTGTTTTTAGGCTAAGTGGATAGTTCATTCTACATAAGGGCTGGGGTTTAAAATCTAATTTAATTCTGTAATTGTGAATACATTGAAGGGAAAATGGCTTCTGACACCATTCTGAAATTAGCCTTTGGGATCTGGTTCTCTTCCAGGTAACTGACCATTAAAATCTCCATGGGCAGGGATTCTAAAGCAAACTTGGCGACTCCTGAGGATGTTAGGGTGCCCTTAGCTCACACCCTAGGAAACCAGCACCTTTTAAATATAGAAGGTAACTAAAAATAAAGCATTGCAGATCCTGTGCATATTTCCAAATAATATTTGGCCATCCCTCCAACTGCAATAAATAATAATAAAAAAAATCCCTTAAAGAGAGACATCCTTACATTCTACATGTGATTTTAGATGTGTCTCTTGTAGAAACTGCAGTGCACATGATACTCAACACCCCCCCCCACACACACACACACACACATTGCTCAGCTGTCAGTGAGGGGAGATGACTTTCGAACATGAAGAGTGACAGGATCCAGCAGTTCACCTGCAGAAATGCCGAGTGATTATCTCTAAATTTCCACAGGGACCATTATTAAATTGAGAGACATCTTCAGTTGCAATCACAAAAGCTAGAGCAGGTGTTTCTCCTTTCAGGCTAGGACTTGCCAAAGCCCTCTCCCCACAATGTTCAGAAGGTCACCTGAGAAATACCCAACACAGGGTTTCTTACAAGTCTTCACTTTCCAGGACCTACCCTATGCCCTGAGATGAGACATAAATACCCTCATCTTCCATCAACAATGTTGCTGGAATGTTCTTCCAATGTCATGATGACTAATACTGTGTTCAGGTGTCAAATATAGAACACACCTTAGACACACAATGGGAGATAACTGAGACCAAATCCAGCCATTGTGGGCAGGAAATAACTAACAGAAAGGCAGGCAACCTCAGCGTTAAATCTCCAGGTCTTATGGAAAGCCCTCAGCCTCTCTCTCTCACATAAAGGCTAGCTGGTATTGAATATGCAGTGCTAGTATTCCAGGTTGCACAATATAATAGGCCTCATAGTGAGAAATGCTGGAACATCTGCAGCTCCATTTATGTGAGGAGATACTAGCACTCAGTGTCTTTGATAATCAGGCAATTGGTGCCTATTTTGGTCTAGATTCTGAGAGCTTGTGATACACAAGGGATTGTTGTATGTTTCAGATTTAAATGGCAACAGGTTAAATGTACACATAGTTGTGTCTCTCAAGACCAAATTCAGCTTGATTGTTGGCATATGCAAGAAAATATAATATTCCCCAAGTAGGAGGCAGGGTTTAGGATCTCAAATGATGACTAAAATATAATTTCTTTCATAGGGAAAAAAAAGCCCTAATTCCTTTGTGTTGCTGAATCTTGAGAATATTTGTGAGGGCCAAGGAAATGAAAACCAGAATCTTCTATTAGTGAAAGATCCCCCTCACTTTTCCAATCTAAATGACAAACAGAAGGCAGATTCCATCCTTCAAGTACTATGCTGGATCACTGAATATAAAGAAAACAATGGTCTGCACTATTTGTACAACATTTCTAAATCAAATCATGATTTTCTACTTCAAATCCTGAATATAGAAGGTATGTCAGAACCAGGAAGTGCATTTTTTTCAAGATCCCTTTCTGGCTACTTGTTTAGTTGTGAAATCACATTAGATACCACAGCCAAGATTTTAAAAAATGGGGGCCTAAAGTTACATTCCTAAAACTGTAATTAGGAAACTAAAAGTTGGATCGATTTTTCAGAAGAGCTGAGCACCCACCAACTCCTACTGAAATATTTAGGTAGAAGATCCAAATTGTGACCAGTTATAAGAAAATAATTCATTCTGAGGGGTGAGTTTCCAAGCAAGTGCATAGGCTGTTTGTAGGTCTGTCTGAATGGAAATCTGATTGTTATAAATGCAGGGCACTTACTCACAAAGGCAATAAAATCTCTCAGTGTAGCTATAGTCAGAAAAGTGGTCACATAAATCATCTCCATAACTTAACATGTTGCATATGCTCCCCTCCATGTCTGGAAGTTGCATCTGCTTTATCAGTATGAACACTTTTCCATTTCTAGAGTGCCAACACAGCTCTGGAAGAGCAATTGGGAGTTTATTTTGTTCACTGCACACGAACAAGGCCACGAGCTAAATTCCAAATATAGAATCTTTAATACTGCTCTTATAGAAAAGTCCTAATAGAATTCTATAGATGTGTATTAGGTTTCTAAAGAAATTACTCAAATAACTATAGAATTTAATAGAAAATAAGAATTTTTCTATATATTTCTAAACTATCTTATAGGTTTCCATACAATGGAAGGAATTTTCTATTAAATTCTATGGGATGTTTAAAAAAAAAAACTATAGAAAAGTGATAATTTTCTATCAAGTTCCATAGGATCTATTCATAAAGGAAGTAAATGACATAAGTAGCAGCAATATTCCGCCTGGATTTTTATATCTATGGGAGAATTTGTAGTGCCACCAGTCAGAAAAAATCAAATTTGATTTTTAATTTAGTAACATTAAAAATCCAACTCCCACTAGTCAAAGAATGTCTCCTAATGACATGAATGGGAATTGGACCAAGGCCTAGATGCAGAAGTTAAACATTGACAATGATCCTATAAAGTAAATGAATACACCAGAAATTTTTCACATATAACATACGCATCAATTTAGCCTCTATACATATATGATTCAAGCCTAATGCATGAAGTGTAAAGGAAAATTCAGTGAACAGCAAACCTACAGGCTGGCTTAACCTAATAGAATGAGGAAAAGGAGGAAAAAAATGAGTTCACTTTCTCCAAACCTCAGATTGATCTGTTATTTTTCCCTCTGAGTCATCCTCTTGCCTACAGAACTGTGATTAATCACAATCATGGCCACATCATATTGATTAAATTGCACCTCTTCAGCCACAGCCGCCTCTTTTTTCTTTTTTTCTGGTTCTCCATGGACCCCGCTAAGCCACATGGAACAGATCCAACTACTCCAATATGCCTGCTTTCCATCTGCCTTTGATAGGCAGGGCTAGGTAACCCACCTTCAGCTGTTCCATTTGATTTAATGGGGGTCTTAAATCACATTTGTGTCCTTGCTGTAAAGAAATGTCAAAAGCAATTGGAAGGAACATTTCCAAAGAAGAACATGCCAGGTCTGATTCTAATTTATACAAAGGGCCTTTTATGTCACTTTGGGTATGTCTACACTACAGCGCTAGTTCGAACTAACTTAGTTCGAATTAGTTAATTCGAACTAAGCTAATTCGAACTAACGCGTCTAGAACTAAAAACTAGTTCGAATTAGCGTTTTGCTAATTCGAACTAGCAAGTCCACATTGAGTGGACCCTGAACAGGGCTTAAGGATGGCCGGAAGCAGTGCCGGCAGGGCATCAGAGGAGGACTTAGAGCGTGGAGATGCTGTCTCAGGCTAGCCGAGGGCTGCGCTTAAAGGGTCCCGACCCCCACCCCAGACAGACAGTTCTCAGGGGTGCCCCGCTTGCAAAGCAGTCCTGGCTTGGA